TGCTTCCTCGCGCAACACACCAACTTGCTCCAACGATGTGACGAACCACTGCAATAATTACTGGTCCCCCATTGGTCTACCAAAAAGGCTAAAAAAGGAACACTTTGAAATACAGAATGGATTTGTGCAGGATCGTTTTGGAGAAACGAGGGAGGTGTAGGTGTACCACCCCTCTGAACATAGCGCCCCCCCCCCCAATCCATAATCAACGCAAGCTGCCGAAGGCTTCGAGCTCGCGGATGCTGCGGCTTTTGCCAACGATCAGCTTCTTGCAGTGGTGGTGTCGCCGCGTGGACCTGGATCGCGACCTTCTCGTGTCGTCGCTCGCCTGGTCGCTCGCTCGGAGCGCAGATGGTTGAGGGCAAACGCCCCCCCCCCGGTGGAACACTCCGGACTATGCAAAGCAACACCTCCCCCACCCCAAACATAGCACACCGTCAACCCCGAAATGCGCAAGAGCTGTCTACACACAGCCCGCTGCAAACCCGTATGACAGGTTCTTGTAAAACCCAAACTGACCAAACAACACAATTGGCTCTAAACCATTGATGTTTGTCTTCTAAAAAAACTCCAAAAAGGCCATCGAACACTGCAAGATACGCGGGAAACACGTTCTTCCGTTCTGTTTTTGGGTTTCTGGGCTAACCTTGCTTTACTTTAACGCAAGCGACTGCCGTTTGCTGACGCAAGTGAAACTTCAACCTCGGCTGAGAATGGGACTAGCTACAGGGTTGTTTGTTCTATGCCCCCAAAAAGGCAATCCATTTTGCCAAGGGACATCGCTGCAGCCCCAAGCACGCCAATCTGACTCTGCCTCCGCAGTGCCGTTTGCCTCACTCGCAAATGGCTGTGGAATGGTCAGCCCGCTTCAATCTCGTATGACGGGCTCTAAAACCAAGTCTGACCAAACAACGCAATTGTTTGCCTTCTAAAATAACTCCAAGAAGGCCATCGAGCACTGGAAGATACATCGCGGGAAATACGTTCTTCCGTTTTCTTTTTAAGTTTCTGGGCTACTCTTGTTTTACTTTCACACGCAAGCGACTGCCGTTTGCTGATGCAAGTGAAACTTCCTCGGCTGAGAATGGGAGGCTGCAGGGTTGTTTGCTCTATGTTCTTGATATTCGCGGCCCCAAGATGGACCCAATAAGGCAATCCATTTTGCCAAGGGGCGTTGCTCCAACTCCACGCACGCCAGTCTGACTCTGACGTCGTAGTCGGCTCTGTGCAGTTTGCCTCAATCGCAGATGGCCGTGGAATGGTATGACCCCTAAGAAGCTTTTGGCCACCCTGCTTCAATCCTGAATGACAGATTCGTGTAAACCCAAAACTGACAAAACGACGCAATTGGCTCTAAACCATTGATGTTTGTCTTCCGAACAACTCCACAGACCATCGCACGTTCTTTCCTTTTGTTTTTGGGTTTCTGGGCTACCGTGTTTTACTTTAATACAAGCGACCGCCGTTTGCTGATCTTCGGCTGCGAATGGGGCTAGCTAGAGGGTTGTTTGTTCTATGTCCTCGAACTTCGCGGCCCCAAGATGGACCTAATAAGGCAATCCATTTTGCCAAGGGGCATCGCCATCGCTCCAACTCCAACTCCAAGCACGCCAGGCTGAATCTGCCTTCGAAGTTGGCTTTGCGCAGTTTGCCTCAGGCAAACAAAGAGCCCAGAAGACTGAACAGCTTCAATGCAGAAAGTGTGTCATTCCCGGTAGCCAGGGCCAACGCAAATTCGACATGAGTGTCAATGAACATGCCCAGGCACATCTTTCATGTCCCAAGAGCCCTCCTTGTTGCCCTTCTCTGCATTGTCCGCCTTGCAGCTGACAACACTCATTCGAGTCTCGTCTACTCCGAGCATGACAACTTTGGAGCCAACGAATAAGTCCAAATAAACTAAATGGGTCCGCTACCGTCTTCGAAAAGCCCTTCTGGGACGTCGCGTTATTAAACCAGCACCAGCCCTAAACAGCAATTGCGCGCATCACCTCGATTCGACTGGACCACAAAGTGCAAACAACCGGAGACCATGTTTGGGCAGCCACATCAAGCTGCCAGAGTCAAGGACAAGACATTGCCTTGCATGAAAAGAGGGTGCAGAGGCAACCAACTGTTGTCAAGTCTTGCAGCGCTTTCCATGTCATGGAATACCCAGAAGGCAAGTAGGTGTTACGGAAGACAAAAGTGCACGCGCCAGGCTTAAGTGTCCGAATCACCAAGCACAACCAGGAACACAAGCGGGGAGACAAGTGAGACAAGTGTGGAGACAAGTGGGGGAGACAAGCTGCGACAACATCCCGAGTCAGCGAGCGCAAGCAAGGAGACTGGTGAGAAGACGAATGGGGAAATAGGCCATGACGAGGTCTGAATCAGCAGGCGCCAAGCGGGGAGACAAGTGGGGAGAGAAGCTGTGGCAAGGTCCGAGTTAGCAAGCAGAAACGGGGAGAGAAGTGTGGAGTCAAGCCGTGGCAAGGTCTAAGTCACCAAGCGCAAGCAAGGAGACAAGCGGGGAGACAAGTGGGCAGACACGCAGTCGCAAGGTCGGAGCCACCAGGCATCACCGAGCACAAGTAGGGAGTGGGAAGACAAGAAGGGAGAGAGACCAGGAGGGGTGTCGGGACCGTAATTCTTTACGCGACTAGAGAACCCTAACAACCCTAACAGCTAAGCTGTTTGGGGAACAAAGCAAAAGGAGCGATAGTCTCCGCAAGCCATCTTCCAAAAGCCCTGCTCTGCCAACCTTTGGTTGTAGGCAGCTTCCGAACACAATATTTTGCAAAACGAACTTGGCGGGCCCCAAACCGTCCCCAAAATGCCCTGCCGCAGGCGTGTTCAATACTGCAAAGAAGAAACAAACTGACCATGCCGCCACGCCTTGCTCAAACAAATTCAAAAGCACTGCGACAAAATGCACAAGTTGAAAACACACACACCAGCTACACACTTCCAATCCAATGCAGCCGTGGGGCTTCCAGAAGGGAATACTGCGCAGGCGAAACCCAGTGATTTGAAGGCGACTCGTGCAGACCTTGGGAAGCGATTGCGATTGCGTGCGTGGCGCGTGGTGCGTGGTGTGTGTTGTTGGCTGTGTTGTTTGGTGTCTGTGTGTGCGCGTGCGCGCGTGTTTGTCCAGGAGTTTCAGGGTTTGCAAAACACACAGTTACCCTCTTCATGACCCTTGCGGGCATATCTCACTCTTGTTGCTCTGTGTGTGTATCTCATTTGGCACAAATGGAAGGAAACAATTAGAAATTGATTGATGGCTGAAAACTTCAAGCTGATGGGCAACGTGTTTCAAAACCGTTCATCAGTGATCCTGAGAACAGCGAGGCCAGCCAGGCATGCCCCTCAGACGGACACCCTTCAGAAGCACAGAAAAAACGTGCACATGAGTTAAATGTCCGGGGAAGCATTGGGCTAAAAACGCAATGCGAATGAAACGAAGATTTCAGCCAGGAGTCTCGGCGAGAGGAGGACCGAGCCACCGAGCTTCATCGCGTGTATGTACATAACGTGCACACTCCCATTGCTGGAAGTGTATTTCACCGCCCTGCCCAGAAGGTCCGACATGCTGAGCCAAAACTTCGTAGCTTCAAATGTAGCCGAGGAAAGCTTGAGCATCCTGGGCGCCTCTTGATGGGGGCTCCATATTACACAGCCTTGCTTTGGCTTATCAAAATGCTTCTTGATGCAAGGAAGGTGCAAGTTTGGCAGCTTTGTGCTGCTGGAGGCAAAACCAAGGGAGCCGCCACAAGGTGGTTGCTTGAGGGTTCTTAATGGCAAAGAAGCCTGCTTTTGCGAGCCCCTTGGAAATGCTTCTGTGCAGGGCAAAGCTGCTTCTTGCAGAAGGGGCCAGGCTTTCTGAAAAGGCTGTACGAAATCTTTTCAGGGAACCTCTCCGCCAACCCCACTAGTGCAAAATCGGGGTGGGGATAAACCCAAGGGTGGCTTCGGAACTCTCAACACGTTTTGACGTGATGCTCTTTCACTGCTGTGTGACCGCAAACAACACTGAGAGCACACCGCGAGAGTGGAGTGCATAAGCGCACGTAAGCACAAATTCCCCCCTGGGACGCTCATTGCCCTTAGAGGGGGGTGAAGTATCAAACATATTTCAAAGAAAAAGCGCAAATCATAGCTGCGGCCCCCGCACCCGGAATTCAAAATCTGCGTGGGCCTTGGCATTATTGTCCTTTCAATTTAGGCCGAAACACTCTTGCAGCTTCCTTCTGAGACTTATTCCACCGAAGCTCTGCTTCCGAGATCTTGCTATCTACTTCTGAGAATTCTTCCACCGAAGCTCTGCTTCCGAGATCTGGCTATCTACTTCTGAGAATATATGTTTTTCCACTGAAGCTCTGCTTCCGAGATCTTGCTGTCGACTTATAAGGATTTCTTCCACTGAAGCTCTGCTTTTGAGATCTTGCTGTCTGCTTATTACACATCTTCCACCGAGGCTCCTCAAAGACTAACGTTTCAATTTGCAACCAGTCCTTCTTTGAGTTTATATGGATTGTACAAGTCGCAACCAGGTTCCTGGACCGGTCAAACACTAACGAAAAACGGGCTTGGTTGAAGTCATGCTTTTTTCCCAACCGCATAGGAACCCGCACAAGAGATGAGCTAACCCATGATTGTTGCATCTCCGAGCATGGCTACATATGTCATGTTCCATGTGGTTCTGGTTCCGCGCCATTCGGAATCACTTCGGCTCTGAAGGTCTTTTGGATCAGTTGCTGAGCGTGGTTGTCATACCGCATTCCAAACAAAGCGCTGAAGCTGTGCAGCAAGGTGACCAATCAGAAACATGATTAGGTTGCGGGGGCCAGCAAGCGTGGCGCGGAGCCGCGAAAGCGTGGCGCCGGGAAGGAGTGGAGTGGTGAAAGCGTGGAGCCGCTGGTGGGGCCGCGAAAACGTAAAGCCGGTGGAGCCGTGAAAGCGTGGGGAGCCGCGGATGCGTGGAGCCGTGAAAGCGTGGAGCCGTCAAAGCGTGAGCCATGACGGCTAAAGACGGGAAAGTGTGGAGCCGCTAAAAAGATGTGTGGTGATACATAGCAGCATTGTGAGACAAAAGCTTTGCAGAAGTATGATCACCTTTCACTTAAAATACGCTTGGTGGATTTCCTGCGTCTCGCGGAACCGACATTCATTTCGCGAGCGCGGTGGCCCGTGGCGAGCGCAGCAGCCCGCGGCGAGCGAGCGCAGCGGCCCGTGGCGAGCGCAGTGGCCCGTGGCGAGCGAGCGCAGCGGCCCGTGGCGAGCGCAGTGGCCCGTGGCGAGCGAGCGCAGCGGCCCGTGGCGAGCGCAGTGGCCCGTGGCGAGCGCAGCGGCCCGTGGCGAGCGCAGTGGCCCGTGGCGAGCGAGCGCGGCGGCCCGTGGCGAGCGCAGCGGCCCGCATGCGTAGCGAGCGCATTGGCCCGTGGCGAGCGCATTGGCCCGTGGCGAGCGAGCGCAGCGGCCCGTGGCGAGCGCAGTGGGCCCGTGGCGAGCGCGGTGGCCCGTGGCGAGCGAGCGCAGCGGCCCGTGGCGAGCGCAGTGGCCCGTGGCGAGCGAGCGCGGCGGCCCGTGGCGAGCGCAGCGGCCCGCATGCGTAGCGAGCGCATTGGCCCGCATGCGTAGCGAGCGCAGTGGCCCGTGTGCGTAGCGAGAGCGCGCGCGCGTGGGTGTGTGTGTGTGTGTGTGTGTGTTTGTGTGTGTGTGTGTGTGCGCCTAAGACACGTCCTTATAAAGGCTTCCTTATAAAGGGCTTCTTTGAAGGCTTCCTTACAAAGGCTCCTCACAACTGTGCTCTCATAAAGGCTTATATGAAGGGAACCGCAGTAAAGACTCCTCGCAAGGCTCATTATAAACGCGTCCTCATAAAGACTTCCTTATAGGGGGCTTCTCATAAAGGCTTCTTTATAAGGGGCATATTATAAAGGCTGCCTTATAAAGGGCTTCTTAGAAAGGCTTCCTTGTAACGGGCCGCCCTTATAAAGGCAGTCAAAGTGACCCAAGAAACGGACACTGCGATTCGCTTGTCCGTAGGGGGGGGGGTGTTGCCGGCAAATGTACCAAGGAGGTACCTCGCACATAACTATATACATTTATATATAGTAGTTAGGTTAATCTATAATAGCCTCATTGCACAAGGCGCCTAGAAACAACCTTTGAATTTGCTTTCCTCTAACTCGCTGAGAGAAATATCCAACACACATCCACGTGAGAGCGTGGCAATGCCACCCTTGCACCCCTGAAGTCGGGAACATGGCAGCCAGGCCTGGAGAACGCCCAACAAAGCTGCGCCAGGGGGAAACCCGTGGGGTATTAATCCACTGGAGGTCTGGGGGTTTGACCATGGGTTTGGCGATTCGGCAAGCCCCTCATTCTAGCACTACTAGGTCCCCCAGTAGTGCCCTTTTACCGTTTCTTTTTTGGGGGAGGGTTCCCCTGCTAAAATAGACTACAGGAAAAAGGGTACCCTTATTCCAATGCTGGAGGACCTAGACTAAAAACTCGGCTTGAATGACACAAGCCAGGTGTTGGGGCCAGCCCATGATGGCAAGTTTGTGAGACCGCTTTGACACGAACCCAGGTGGTTGCGCGAACTGAGATGGGATCTGGCTGCCCATGGAAGTCCATGTTTTTTTCTTAGAGTCCAGGAGGTATCCCTTGACTCACTAGCTATGAATCAGAATCAAGCATATGACTTTTGGGGGACAGGTTGAGCGCATCCAGTCTGCAAGAAACCAGCTCAGGGAAATGCCAGGTTTCTTGGTTTTAGCAACGCATCCCAGGTCAATACGAGAAAAACAACTAGGGTTTGTTATGACTTGGTTTTATGGGGCCACCTTTCATACCCGAGGTGGACATTACACATACAGACTGTGGGTGGACGAACTCCTGCACCACTTGGAAACCATGATTGAAACCATTGTTGGTTGGCATTTATGTTGGGGAGTCGAATCAGAAATCAGGGTTTCTGAACGGTGTCGCAAGAAGAAATTTTCGCAACCAATGGTTTTTGGTTTGTGGGTACTGCACAACTCATGTACCCCGAATCTTGGGGGTCCAACTTGGGGTTATGCAGCTAGGGTATCCAAGAACCAACAACCGTCCCCTTCGGCCTTATTTGGTATGTCCAAATTTGGGGCAAGTTGGGCTTTGATACATTGGCGATCGGCTTTCATAAAATGGCATTTGGCGTTGACAAAGCGACCATTGGTTCCCTGGTAAGGTGGCCATTGGGGCTGGCCGGTCTTGGTAAACCTTGATAAAGCGGCCATTGGGGTTGGCCTTGCTACAAATGGCTCGGCCTGAGAAACGGAAACCGAAGCCGAAGCGGAGGCATCCAGGTGGTGGTGGAGGTTGGCCTCGGTCTGGGGGTCTTCGCTGGGGATGCCCTGGGCATCGGCAGCTCCGTGCGGCAGCTGGCGGCACCTCACCGTCACAGGTGAAGACGGTGGGTGGGGGTGGGGGGGTTGGGGGGGGTGGGGGGTGGCCTTTTTAGGTTGGTTTAGATGGGTTTGATTCCATTTACCAGGGCCATCCATTTTTCCAAAGGGACACCTATGGTGAGTTGCCGCGGGGTTGGTTTCAGACTTGTCACTTTTTTGGGCTTGGACCATGACAAGTGGTAAATACAAGAGTTTGCTTTGCTGTCAATCCGCTGAGAAAGTAAGTTGTTGACTCCCTTTACAGAGCATTTGGAGAAAAACATGGGTCCTTAGAAAGATTCAACACTAAGTGGTCCAATACCTATTGTCCCCAGAAGGCCAAAAGGCAAACCCTGTTGCCTCCACGCCACAGCGGGAAGTGCAAGGTTATGCAAGCCCACTGTGACAAGTGGGCGGCAGTGGGTGGAATATACATGTATACTTATAAGGTATTGATATGACATAGAAAAGGGATATGCAACTATTTTAAGCTGGGTAATTTTCAAACACCCTCAAAGGGGAAATTGGTTGTATGCTTTACATGGTGTCTTCAGTGGTAATGTACGCCAACTTGTTCTGGGGGAAACCACTCATCTTCCAGTTGATTAAGTCTGAGAGCATGGAATCCAGTACCACTGCGAGGCACTGCAATGCCCATGTTTCTCCCAGAAGGCCTGCAAGGCCTCTGTGCCTTAACCCAGATGAATAAATGCCCGCGGTTGAAGCCGTCTCAGGCATCGTTTCAGTGAGCTTCCGTTAAGTGGTGCGATGTTCAAGGAGGAAAGGCAAGCCTTGCAGGACTGGGCAGGTTCAGAGCACCCCGTCACCCAGGTTTCACTTGCCCAAAGCGAATCGACCTTTTGACCTTTGGGTGTTCCGGTTTTGGTCCATATTTAGTCAAGGTGCCAATAAAGGTTAACCTTTTACTCGTGGGTCCTCTGGAACTGAGTGATAGCACGTGATTCGGACACCATGGGAGCTCCACTGGAATAGGACGTGGGTCGAGCCAAGGCAATGGCCATGCGGAAAGTCCTGGAGGAGGAGTCGTTCAAGAACATTTGCTTAGTCGTTCTCTCCTTGCCCCTTGCCTTCAAGAAGGATTCTTCGGCTGTTTGTCAACACGGGTTCATGTTTGAAAACGGTGTGTGATAGAGGGGGCCCAAATGAAGCCAACCATTTGCCGGAGGTCCTGGAACCTCGGTATACTGGATGTGTTGATTCGTACTTTTGCAGCTCTCCAGGTGTTCTGTGGTGAAGTGGTGAGCTGCCCTTTGAAGGTTTTGTTCTTTCAATGGCATCGTCCGCAGAACGCAGACTGCTGAAGCCCCCCGCTTTTCACGCATACGTGGCGTGTTGTTGCTCTCGGGCGTGGTCAGTCGTACGTTGGAAGCGTTGGAGTTGCTGATGGTTGCCCAGGCCGATTTTCATCAGAAATGACAACTACGACTATTACGAGCAGGCGCGCAGGACATGTCCGTGCACTGGGCAGAAAACGCTTGGTTCTAAAGCATCGCATTGTTCATTCCCCCTGAAGGAAACCAAACGAAGAATGAAAAGTGTTGGTCGATTCGTCCCCCGGGTCACCACTTGGGAAATGTTGTTCTTGTTCCGACACAGTGTTCACAACTCGTTTTAAACATCCTATTTGAGCTGGTCTCCAGATGAGGGAACCCAAGAATCGTTGATGTTCATTTAGCTTTGCTTTGCAACCGCTTCCGTTCGGGTATTTGTTTTCAGAGTCCGAGCTTGCTCAATGGACTCTAGGTGACTATGCCCCCCCCAAAAGGAGAAAGACAACCCTCATGATGGGACACATAGGCCGTTTTTTGCGTTCCAAAACCTTGCAATGGAGATCAAGACGTTTGCATTGGTTTGGGTCCAATGCATAGGGACGGCGGGCCTCTCCTGGAGGTCTTCCAAAGGGACAACGCGTACAGTGGCTCAGTGCCCGTCTTGCTGATGGACCAGGACGCAGTTTCACGCAATGTGGATGGACAAAATCCATTTGGCACCACTTGGAAACTGCATGGTTGAACCCATTGTTGGTTGGTATGCAAATGGAAATCATCTTAGGTGGTGCAGGATTTCGCTCATCCACAGTATTTCTTCATGGCTGGTCTTTCAGCCGTTTAGACATGTTGGAGCCTGTGGGTGTCACGTCTTAGTGTCGCGCACAGGACGCAATGACGCAATGTGGGTCTTGGACATGTTGGAATCAAGCAGAAATTCCATTGAACCTACAGAAGTCCTTTTCCTTTGGGGAAGGATAAACCCAGTGCTGACAGGTGTGCCCCTCACTGAACGGAAGACGAGCGCAGGGTGAACGGGCGTCAGGACATGCACGCCATCGCCATCGCGGCAGCTAGTGACTCGCCTGCAGTGGACCTCGGGAATTAACTGCCACTCGGGAGTGGTTATAATCACCTGGGACCCCATATGGCCGTTTTTGGGGGGTCATGCGCCTTTGACCGAACCAAAATGGCCATACGCATTTTTATGGCTTTGGATCAACAAGATGTTGAAATGATACGGGTTTCATACGGCGCGCATGACCGAACAAATACTAAATACGGGAGTTTTACCAAAAACAGAACAGCCATGCGGGGTGCCAGGCTGGTTTATAAGTGGGACAACCTCGGTTGGTCCAGTTATATCATGGTTACAAGCTAGCTGGTTACGAAGTATAGGCTGAGCATCACAGCAAAGGGCGGGGCTGCGTTGCTCGGTTCACTTCTTTCCTCTCCTGTTGCAATGTTGTACGTCTACAAAGACACTCCTGAAGGTCCGCTGTCAAGAGCTTGCCCTCCGCTGGTTCGGAATGACACCCTCTTCACATTGTTCCCTCAGGCAAGATTTGCATCGCTCATTTCATTGTTGGGAAGCATTTTACATTTTTGCTTATTGTGGCTTAGTGGTTGACATCCAACCACTTATCTGCTGAACTTTTCCAAGTTTTGCTCCCCTTCCAACGTCAATCGCTCGTTTTGGGTTCGAAAGATGTCATTTTTCCATCGCCCATGGCCAGCCGGGACCACTGGACTCGAAACAAAGCCTCCAGTCCGAAGGCTCCAATTGACCAGGCCCCATATTTCCAAATGGCTGTGGCTCAAAAAAAACGGTACCAAAATGGAACCCTGGTAAGTGGAAACATGGACCAAACCCTGCGGTTTGCCCCTCCTGGTTCATTTTGAGCCACACCCAAATGATCTCCAAATGGTTCAATCCATATGAGCTCGTCCCAGAAGGTGGAACCCCAAAATAGCCGTTGTCGATGTTTAATTTTTGCTTTCCCTTCCAATCCCAAAGGGTTTCAACAAAGACACTCAGAAATGGAGAATCCTACAAGGGGGGGGAAGTGTACTCGGTACTCGTATGTCCAATCCTTATTTCAGGTGCTCGAATTCACTTTCAGGAGCCCTTAAGGCTGACTGGGGTTCCTCGAAGGATGCCGGCCAGAAAATGTCACCCCAGTACGTGCTGATTTACAGGATCCCCTTTGCAAAGCAGGCGGTTTTGGGATTGTTTGTGTGTGTGTTTTTATGGGGACCCCCAAAAGTGGCTTCGTTGTTCCTTCTGGTTTAACAAAGCTACCAACTCTGCGCGATCCCAAGAGCCCTTCGGGCTCGTTCGGCTCAGGCGCCGGCTTCACCGTGGGGGAGCTGAACCCTGCAGACTCCCACGGGGTCTTCGGCGAGCGGGGACCTGAGGATCCGAATCCGAGCCGGGCTTCGGGCTTGGCGTAGGTGCCGAAGCCGAAAGCGACGGTCTCGTTTGGAGTCTGATTCATGTGAATTTGGAGTCGGTTTTCGCATCTATGCACATGATATACTCATTGTGCCTATAAAGATATGGCCATGTGTGCTGGCATTGGTTTTCTAGGTGTAGCTTACGTTCCCGTATTTGCCGATGGAAAGGTTTGCACCTGGCATTTGGTTGATTTCTCAAGTGTGGCAGGTAGGGAGCGGCATTGCCTGTACTCAACCTTCTTCATGCTGATTGGCTTGGTTTTAATTCAGTTGGAGTCCACAAAACTTGGAGACGAGCTCGCGTCGACTGAAGTCTGAAGTCTCGCACAAGGTACTGGCAGAACTTCGGGCCCGGGACCGAGGACACGATCCGGCCGCGGTTTTGAAGCGCCCCTAGATTGAGCTTGCCATCCCCCCCCATCAAAAGGAAACTTGCGTTCAATTGGCCCCAACTGTCGAATCAAGTGGTTTGCAATAGAATCACCCATCTTAAAAGAATCACCTACAGGGAGATACACTACGTGTTGCCCAGCATGGTCCTTGAACGGCGTGGGGGGCTGTTGGTTCTGGCGGGGCATCAAGGGACCCCTTGGATCGAACGGCTTTGGAAGTGGCTCTCGCGCTGGTGTCCAGCTTTAGCTATTGCCTTATCATTTATTCGTTTGTGTGTTGTTTGGTTCTGCTCTATTTGTTTACCTGTTGGTCGTGCCTCTCAACTTCTGATGGACGCGATCGCCAGTGATTCCTAGGGGAGGTTCATCTTCAAAGCTCAAAATGTTCTTGGAGGGGGAACCCACTGATCCTGGTGTTTCTCCAGGTTTGCACGACAGTTCCCCCTGATCACTGTCAGTAGAACTGCTCGAGTCCGCGGCACCGTGAGGTGGTATAGGTGGTATGTGTCATGCCCACGGGCCTGTTTTGGATGGTGGCGTTCAAAGGACCATTGCAACAATAAAAGGATAACAGAAGAGTACAGAACACCAAACGAACCCACGAGGAAACCAAGGTAAACCAACCACTCGGTGGGGCTCCCATTGGGCTTCTGGGCGCACCTTTTCTTGACGTGTTTGGGGCTTGGAGCGAGCATGTCAAGCATAGTTCTGAAGCATCGTGTACAGGGAAAGACGACATGATTGCCTTCTTTGAGTTTCCCTAATAAAGGCCGCCTCATCTTTGTCAATCACCCCTTCAACAGTTGGTGGCTCAAAATGTTGGCCCTTTAAGACCCCCTGCAGTGCTTCATTGGAGGCTCCCTAAAACGGCCGTTGTTCGGGCCAGGAGAAGCTTGCTCTCACTACCTGCGGGCTATTGACGCAGCACCACGCCTGGCGCTCAGAAAGCAGACGACCGGAGGGGATCCGTTTTGAACCTCCAAAAGTGGCGATCGCATCACGGGAAACCACCAGTCAATTGATCAACTTTTGAAGGGGAAATCCAGTGACCCCTGTTTTAAACCATGGCTTGCATGTATTTTGAACCACACACATAAAGACTTCATGTAAGGGCGCAGAGTTGATTGCGGGGTTGGTCTTTTTAGACCGAATGTACCCGCTGAAGTTTGCGTTGCTCTGGGAAGCTGGCCACTCTTCAGGCTTTTCAAACCAGAACGGCGGCAAAAGGAGAACCCTGCTGGACATTGGCCCAATTAAGGACTTAAAAAACAAGAAGAAGCAAACTTGGGTGTCGATGGACGCAAGGATTGCTGCCCTTTCGGCTCTCTTTCTCCCTCTTTCTCTCTCTGGCTTTCTTTCCATTCTTTGTTTTCTTTGGTTTTTTTTTTTTTTTTGTTCATTTCTTCTTTATTTCCTTTATTTCTGTCGCTCTCTCTGTCTCTCTCTCTCTCTCTCTCTCTCTCTTGGGCGCTCACAAGCATTCTATACTTGCTACTCCCGGCCGCAGGCAGTGAATCCGCTGGTGACCGACAAGAAGAGTTACATCGCGGTAGATGCGTCAGAGCCACCCAAGTAGAGCTCGGGCGAGCGCCTTTGGAGGCCCTTTGCGACTGGAACAGCCTGAGGCAAGCAGTTCTTTAGCTAAGAGCCAAGTTCAAACATTTGGCTAGCCAACTTTTCTGCTAAAGTCTAAGGTTTCTTTACTCCGCTCGCTTGACTTGCGGGGTTCAAAAGATCCCTGAGCTCCCAAGCCTTCGGCGGAGTCGCAAGGTTCTATACGCAACTCATCAAGCACAGCGGCGAAGTAAGCAAACACGAGGTCAGGCCGTCAGATGAAACATATGTCCGTTTTCCAATAGGATATTCTAGGATTAAGCTGGCAAAGTATTTGCAAGTACTGCTCAGTCTGGGTCTCAGTGCCCACGTTTTCCGAGCCGTGAACCCGTTTAGCGCGCCTTGCCGGAGCCAGCGTCCGTAGCAGTCCTGACCGGCGAAGTGCGGCCGAAACTGGCTGCTTCCGCGTGGGTGCAAAATGGAAGTTGTGAACAAGTTCCCAAAAGGAAATCAAGATGGATGGATATTGAATAGGAAAAGATCCAAACCCACTGTTTTACACCCCAATCAAATCTCTGATTATGGAAGCGTAAGGCGTAAGGGGCTGTCCTAGCCATAGATGATTTACACGGTTGTGCAGACTTCCTGGAGACTAGGTTTGATCATGACTGAGCCATCTCGAGAGGTCGAAGGCATGATTGTTTTTTGCTCTCAGCAATCTGGGATTCTTTGCGCCGGAGGTTGTTTTTGTGCGTGTGTGCGCGTTTTCGAGTTGGCTTCCCCAAGATGTTCGTCCTCATGAATATGGAGCCATGCAGCAACTTGCTCAGCTGCAACTTCTGGCTCAGTGGCTGAGGACCGTGCAATTTACTTGACCAACTTTCGGGGTTCACCGGGGTTTCTTGTGTTTCGCCCAAACATCGACACGTGTTTGGGCTTCTACTCGCATTCGGCCAGTCGAGCATGTTGGGAATCAGCAGTTTGGCGAGAACGAGCGCAGCCAGCGCAGCGACACGAGAAGCCTGCGACCCATTTTTCACATGACGCCACTTTAACGTAGCCAAGCTGCGTTCAATAGAGTCTATCTAAAAGATTTGCCATACGAGCATTGCAAAAGCGGAAAGGTCACGCTCCGGAGTCTGAGTCCGAGCTATGGAAGTTGAGGATCCCCAGGAGTCGGTGGATGTCTCTGTGGTGTTTGCCCTATGCAGCGGCAGAGGTCGCTGCGGCCTGGCCTATGTAGACTTGGACGAGCCCGAAAGGGTCGCTTGGCGTGGCGTTTGGGTACAGCGCCGAGGTGGTGTTCCTTTCCCTTGGGCACTCGTCCCAAGCCTCGAAAAAGACTAGTGTGACGCATCGCCACGAGTTTTAGTTGCAAAATGACACCAGGATGAACCCTGATGCATGTGGAAGGGGTGCCAAATGGTTTGCACATCTGTTTGTATGAGCGCATGATTATTGGCCTCAAGGTGATTTCTTTGCCAACAGGCACGTGCGCAACATGTCACCAGGGTGCCAACAAAGCAACCGATTTTGCCCCCCCCCCCCCCCCGCCCCCTTGATTGGGTCCCCAAAGCCCCATGTTTGAGTTTGTGGGCACCGTGTCTCAGTAGCACAGACTTGTCCGGCTCAGTTGCGGTCCCTGTGCTTTCCCTTCAAAGCCATGTTTAAGTAGTCCATTGCTTTTTGGACAAAATTTGATGTGCCTTTTGGTTTGCCCTTTGGACCTCTTGACCTGTTGAGACCTTTTCTAGCTCCCCCAGAAGTGCCCTTTTACCCTTTTTGGGGGAGGGTTCCCCTACTAAATTGGACGGGTGCCCCTCTAACGTCTTTACTGGAGGACCTAGCTTTGGGACCCTTTGGACAATCGCTTTGCACGTGAAATGAGAGGGGTTGCCGCTCAGGTCCTGCGGGTGTCGGACTTCATGGACCCCAACTTCTGCCAGTTGGACCGCCTCAAGCAGCAGCCCCGCGCCAGTCAAGAGACAATCCGCCCAGCGTGCCCTGAGGTACTCGTACCTCAAGTGTAAGGGAGCTACAAGGGGTCACACCTCCTGTACGAAGCAAGGGACCCGAATTGATTGCGGCACCTTGTCGCTCAGAAATTCCCGCCCCCCCCCCCCCCCCCAACCCCCCACCCCCCGGCCCGGAGCCAGGCTCTTGGCGCCGTCCGGAGCGACACGCTCGGGGCTGTGCCTGGTGCCTTCCCGGAGCCCCGCGGAGCTGCTGAAGGCTGCGGCGCGGCCCCTGGGCGAGGCAAGGTCCGGGCGGTGGCGGGCTGGACTTGCCCAGTGGCGCCCCTTGTTTTTCTTCTGTTTTTTGTGGGGATGGATGGGATAGCAGGTTCCCTTTTGTTTTTGGAGCTTTGAAGTAAGCAACCCCGATGAGTGAAGGGCAGACAGATGGCTCGAGAGCGTGAACGACTTGCGAGGTCCAAGTTGCATCGTATGGTCGACTTGGGTCCAATCCTCAGTGGCAAGACGTTCTGAACAACTTGCGCTGTAAATTTCCTGAGGGTACGTGCGTGCATGGACGCCAAGCTTCTGCAAGCTACTTGGGGGTCTTTGTGAGTTGTCCGTGGGCGGTGACAGCATGGGTCGCAACTCGCAGAGTATCTGATCGACTTTTCCCCTGTCGGTTGAAGAGAAAGTGGTGTCCAAAGCTTTCTGGCAAACCATTCAACAATAGCCTTGAGCCAGGCTGGCAAACCCAAAGAGGTCGCAACGGGTTGAGCACCAGGCTGAGTTGAAGCTGACCTTGTCGATTCAGAACATGGTCGTGCAATCACAAGGAAACAAGAGCCAGTGTGCGTGAGTGCACGCGTTTGCGTGATCGCCCCCGCACGCACGCCATTGCACGCCCCGCTGCCGCCTGCGTGCTCAACAAAATGAGTGCCAGTGATGCCAGTGATGCAGGCTTTTTGTGCACAGGCGCGCGGTTTTGCGGCCTTTTGCAAATATGGCCTTTGACAAGCCCTTGGATGTAGATGATGCAGAACCAGGCGTTTTAGCGGTCCCGAGGCTGGTGACGGCAGCTGGTTGAGCGTTCAGGTAGGCTACGCTTAGGGCGTGTAGCCTTAGATGCTTTGTGCCCGAAGTAGCATATGTGCCCAAGATATGGACTCGTAGCCCGGCGGTGCCGTGTTGGTAGCTGTTCAATCTGGCTTCCTTGGCGTAGACATCGCCATAGGTCTCCCTTCCCTGGGGGTATTGGCAAGACACATGGCTATGTGTCAAAAGGGGGGGGCAGTTTTCCTGTTTTCCGTTTAAAGTAACCTCAGTACACAGACACGCATATTAGATGTACATGCATGTATTGTTATATATATATATATATATATATATGAGCTACATATACAATATTGAACCTGGATCATGGGAGGGCTGACCATATATATATATATATATATTATACACGTTTATATTCAATTTATATTCAATGTCCTTTTCATCAAATCTCAGGCTTGTTTTGGCACATACCGAAGGGCCTGCTTCAGGAGGCTGCGAGTGAGCCCTTCCCCACGGCCACGGTGAAGGCTGGGGACTTCGAGGCGGAAGCCGGCCAGGCGAAGGGTGGGAGTCAGGGGAAGCGGCCAGCGGCTTCTTCGTGTTTGTTATTTTCCGGGGAGGGGGAGGGGGAGGGGGAGGGGCAGGAGGAGGAGGAGTGGAGGAGCAGGAGCAGGAGGATGAGGAGTGGAGGAGCAGGAGGAGGAGTCCTGAGGAGGAGTGGAGGAGCAGGAGCAGGAGCAGGAGGATGAGGAGTGGAGGAGCAGGAGGAGGAGTCCTGAGGAGGAGTGGAGGAGCAGGAGCAGGAGCAGGAGGATGAGGAGTGGAGGAGCAGGAGGAGGAGTCCTGAGGAGGAGTGGAGGAGCAGGAGCAGGAGCAGGAGGATGAGGAGTGGAGGAGCAGGAGGAGGAGTCCTGAGGAGGAGTGGAGGAGCAGGAGCAGGAGCAGGAGGATGAGGAGTGGAGGAGCAGGAGGAGGAGGAGTCCTGAGGAGGAGTGGAGGAGCAGGAGCAGGAGCAGGAGGATGAGGAGTGGAGGAGCAGGAGGAGGAGTCCTGAGGAGGAGTGGAGGAGCAGGAGCAGGAGCAGGAGGATGAGGAGTGGAGGAGCAGGAGGAGGAGTCCTGAGGAGGAGTGGAGGAGCAGGAGCAGGAGCAGGAGGATGAGGAGTGGAGGAGAGGAGGAGGAGGAGTCTGAGGAGGAGTGGAGCAGAGCAGGAGGATGAGGAGTGGAGGAGCAGGAGGAGGAGGAGTCCTGAGGAGGAGTGGAGGAGCAGGAGCAGGAGCAGGAGCAGTGGAGAGCAGGAGGAGGAGGAGGAGTGGAGGAGCAGGAGCAGGAGCAGGAGGATGAGGAGTGGAGGAGCAGGAGGAGGAGTCCTGAGGAGGAGTGGAGGAGCAGGAGCAGGAGCAGGAGGATGAGGAGTGGAGGAGCAGGAGGAGGAGGGTCCTGAGGAGGAGTGGAGGAGCAGGAGCAGGAGCAGGAGGATGAGGAGTGGAGGAGCAGGAGGAGGAGTCCTGAGGAGGAGTGGAGGAGCAGGAGCAGGAGCAGGAGGATGAGGAGTGGAGGAGCAGGAGGAGGAGGAGTCCTGAGGAGGAGTGGAGGAGCAGGAGGAGGAGGAGTCCTGAGGAGGAGTGGAGGAGCAGGAGGAGGAGGAGTCCTGAGGAGGAGTGGAGGAGCAGGAGAAGGGGAGGGGAGGGGGGGCTCGTTGATAGGTGCTTGTGAGATGTCGCGTGGTTTGTTTTTTGAGGGTCCCGATTTCTTGGTTTGATGGATGGCAACCAACGGGAAGCCGACCACTTTTACGCGGCTTCCTCATGAGACTAAGCCAAAAACTCGACTGCAGCTTCACATGGAGCTCCCAAAAAGGCATCGTTGTCAGACAAGTTCCTTTTTGGGTGCCTTGGTCTTTGTGGGTTCTATGTCAATTTGCAGGCAAGTGTCTCTGGCAGGTGCGTTTGCAGCAGCTCTTCGCCAGCTTGGGGGAAGACGCCTATCGCATCAATCCTTTGGTGGCCTTGGAGCGGAACGAACAGCTGCTGCGAGCGGCGGGGGGCTTGCTGAGGCGGGGTTGCCGGGAGTGACAGATGGGTAGGCCGTGTACTGTGTACATCTGTGTACTGGTTTCCCCTTCAAAAGCACTGCCATATCTGCCTGGTTTCGTAACGAGCTCAATTTTAGAGTAGTCCATGCAACCTTTCGCCGGCCGGCTTGAAGCGAGTTTGCAGTTGGTGCAGTGATGTTTAGAGCCAGTGCTCCATGAGGGATCTTCCTGAGTTGTGAAGGAAGTGGACAGGTGTGCTTAGATTTCATGCCTGATTGTGCCCATCAAGAGGCAAGGCCTATAGAGGCATGCCGAGGTGAAATGAATCTGGATTGAACTTGTGGCGCTTGGCTTGAGGAGACATTAATTTTATGCAAGTTTTTCCCAGGGTCCCCACGGGCTGAATCCGCATCACCCGTTGCAATCCCTTCCATCCAGATATGGATTCTTGAAGGCAATGGCTGGTGGGGGTATTCCGGATTCCCATTTGCCATCATGTCACTACTAAGACAGTTCTTGGTACATGTCACTCAAATGGCCAACCACTGGCCCCACAAGCCCAACAACTCGCGCGTCACCGTTTCGAACCACGCGCCTTCAAGTCGCCAACAACAACCAGCAACAACCAAGCACCAACAGCCGGCAACCAGAAAACCAGCAGCCCCCAAACGAAGAGTTACTTGCGAACCCAAACACAGCTGCTAGCCTGCAGAAACAAAGTGTCCAAACACATACCACTGGACAAGAGAACATCGCCCACCCATCCCGACATGACACTCACCCTAAATTCCAAAGGACCAACCAACTCCAAGGCCTTCTTTTCCCTTTTCCCCTTCCAAACACCCGCCCGACTTCCCCGAAACCCCCCCGGGTGTCCGGGTGGGGAAGGTTCCTGGAGCAGAATCGGATCCTCCTGGGGGACCTGGAGGGCCAATGGCAGGGGCCCATGGTGCAGGAGCCGCGGTGGTCGACTGTTGGGGGAACGGATGGCCTCCGTTTGCTGAACTTTCTCTTTCTCCCCTTGTTGGTTTTGAAAGGAAATCATGGCTACTTCACCACATTGTTTTTCCTGGGGCCTTATCCAAATGGAAGATGGAGTGAAGCCTTTGGTGGAGTCTTTCTTGGTTGCGGGAGGTCCGATTTGTTTGTTTGCGGACATCATTTACATGGAGTAATGCGGTCACTCACCATCTTGGATGCTTGAATGAAAATTCAGAATTTCCTCCTTTTTGGTTGGTGTGTAAAGCAAAACCAGAAGCAAACCACCTATGTTGGGGGTTCCCTTATTTTGAAACACAAGTGCCTGGATACTTCCAGCCAGAAGTCAAGGGTGTGTTGCTCCTAGGGTTTTGCACTCTCTTAAAGGTATTTGGATGGCACAATTTTGCAATCAGAAGATCATATTCAGAGCTTCCCATCAATTTGGGGGCTGAAAGGCATCCCCATTGCGGCGGGGAAGCTGAATGAAGCCCAAAATTATGGCTGACTCCCTAAGTTCATGGACTTTTAAGCTGTTTGGGATGACCGTTTTGTAGTGGCAACCGAAAAGCCTGGACTTTTTGGCCATTTCACTCAGCAAGTAGGATTGGCTTGGGCTGACATACAGCTTAACATCAGGATCGCCACTCACTTGCCAGAATGGCAGATGCAGTGCGGATATCCCAAACACCACATGTTTTGGTCATTCCCTTGCCACACGAAGGTGCCGGTTGAAAGCAAGATGAACACATGTTTTTCTCCAAGGGCAGAGAGAAAGCTGGCATGAGTTGAACAAAGGCTTGTATATTTCACTAATCACGGCCGCAACGCGCGGCTTGATTCACAAAGACGCTGGCCCGATCCCTTCTACGCCAGGACGTGCGGATCTTCTCGCCGGAGGACACTGTCTTCGTGGACTCTCAGACCATGATCGCTCTGCAGATCTTTCAGGACATGAAATGATTCGCAGCGGGGGTTGAACGAACCTTTCAAAGATGATCGAACAGGCTGGACGATTGGTATGTGGTTTCATGGGAGAGGTCCAAAAACAATGACTACCGTTCGCAACTAGCTCAGAAAACTGAACCTGAAAAAGGATAAAAGGCAGACACCCATTCAGCACTTAGGGGCTGTATGAATCAGGGTCCTTTTGTTCTGCACCCTGGATAAATGATCATACGCTCACCTGGGGTGTAAACGAGCTCGCTCAGGAGAACGCTCCCATACTTGGGGATTCCTTATTTCCCGTTTGGCAATGATTGATTTCGACATTTGTCCTCGGTAAAACCCAGCAATGATCCCCACCCCCAAGCAGAGCTGTGGTAACAGCGAGCAGGGCCCAAGTCTCTGGACAGGCTCATGGCACCTTAGTGCGCCATGCCTTTGCTCCCGTGCCACGCACAGGAGCAGCAGAAGTTTCTGCTTCGCAGCTCGAAGCCACGGGAGGGGCTGTCCCTCTACGGTCTCCTGGAGCCTCTGGCAGCCTCCAGTGCTGGGCGCGCCATGCTGCGCAGGTGGCTCAACCAGCCAAGCGCCTCGGAGTCGCTGGGGTTGGAGTCACTGGTCACTCCAATATCTCAGTTGCCCAAAGCGAATCGACCGGAACTGACCCTTGGGTTTTGGTCGTGTCATGGCCCCAACAGGTTCTCCGGTTGTTTCCAGGTCCTTTGGGCAACGGGGAAAAATGATTTTGCCCCTCGACCAACCAGAGGCCAGTGGCAAACCTTGGGCTGTAGCTGGAACCCTGGAAATCCCTTTAAGAAATCCGGCGCGCCAAAGGAAGCATTTGGGCCAGTTGGGACGTCAATTTGTCCAGCCCGAGAGGATCTTCCTATAAAAGTAGTGCGGTTTTTTGGATAAAATCCCTGCAAAAAAAACACAGGTTTCACCACCAGACTCCTGCACCACTCCTTAAAGCAGCCCCAAATATGGAGAGGGTTGGTCTGGGAGTCTGGGGGAAATCGGAAAGGAAAGGGTTCCCGCGGGCGGTTGGGATCCCATTTTGAGAAGCTTTAGACGATCCAGCCAACAAAGAGCCTGCAGCTTTTCAAATGTATCCTCATTATCCTCAAAGCAGCCATTTGTCCGGGCAACCTTTTTGGGTTGGGTTTTAAAGGTAGAAGTGGGGACCTGAAAGAGGAAAACCCCGCCATTTTGGGGCCGCCCCTGAAAAACCACACCCAAAAACAGGGCTCCTTAACAGATACATTTTGCAACACAATGAAACATGGCTTTTTCAAGACCAAAATAAAGTTGGAAACCACCATTTACAAGTTGCAATGTTCAGGTGTATAATGCATCCGGATCCCTGAAAACGGCGAGCTCCAAACCGGGCCCCGCGGCCAAACGAGCGAAGTCGCGAAGTCAGCGAGGCCGGGACCGTGAGCTGCTGCAGCGCCGCTTCGGGGCGGTGGAGCATTTGCTGAGCTTACTGGCTGGGCCCAATGCTGAGTTGGCACCTCGGGTTGAAGCTTGAACATCGACGAGGCCTTTTGTAGGCATGGCCTTGGAGGCTAGGTCCCCCAGTGCCCGTCTCTACCGTTTCTTTTTTGGGGGAGGGTTCCCCTACTAAAATAGACTACAGAAAATGGGTACCCTTATTCTAACCTCTCTACTGGAGGACCGAGGAGGTGAGTTTGGTTGAACTGCTGAAGAGTTTGTAGACATTTTGTTGACCTTTTTCGGTCTTGGTTGAACATAGATGGCACTGGTTGTAGCGTGGTTCTAATCATTTACCAGTGCCTGGTAACAGATAGATAGTTTGGTCCGAAGAGCGGCTGCCGATGCGTGTTTCCATATTACACTATTGCTGTTTATGTCGTGTTGTATTTATGTATTCATGTCGTTACGTACTTTTGTTACGTATGCATCTATTTATCGATGCAATTATGTATGTTTTTTTTAGTGATTTATTCAGTTATGTTGATTGAACTAATTATTGTGTTTTTAGTTGTTTGTTTAGTTAATTATTTGTCTGTTTAATTGTACGTACACATATGGCACGCATCTGTTGATATTTGCTTCTTTATGCATACGTTGATGTGTTTGCATGCTGCATGCTGCAGTTTTGCCCAGGCTCGGCAGCTGCACCGCGAGCTCATGCAGATACAGGACTTACCCAGGCTTCTCTCGCGCATGTGCCCGGGCTGAAGATCTCGGCCTCTCAAAGATCCCTCGGTCGCTCAGAGGGACTCTGTAAATCCCTTTTTGTCTGGGGTAGACTTAGGAAGCATTGTACATTTTAGCAGTGACTCAAAGGGCAAACAATAGAATATACATTCTATATCTGGGCCTAAGTCTAATCATGTTGTGTGGCGTGCTCCCTGGTACAAATCGTCTTGGCTCCAGAGAGAAATTGCTTCGTTAAATTTAGGCTTCAAACCGCTTGGCCGGAAGGTGGGAAGCTATCGCGGAAACTCCTCCGGGCTTGAGATGATTGGCCTAGCAAGTTTGGAGTGCCGTTGTTTGTGTCGAGTGCATGTAACTGTTTGGAGCTTTAATTATGTTATCCATGTGATGTGTGTCCATGTTTCAGGCACACTGGCTGTCAAAATCCAGGAAGCACCCTGAATGAAGCAAGCCAAAGTCAGGTTGGCTTGCGGCAGACTGGGCCCTTACTCCATGAACTGGACTCAGACCTTGGGGCTCCGCGTGTCAGTCAGCGATACTGAGCTGTTACTGGGTGTTTAGCTAGTCATTGTGGGCATGTTTTGTTGTTGGTGAAAAATCAGTGTGTTGCTGCGGCACGGAGTTTTGGTCTACTGATGGACAATATCCACTATGCGCCGATTAATATTTGTGGCTTGTCGACCAGTTTTTACAGGGCCTTATCCATCCCAACTCTGTGTGTGTGTGTGCGTGTATTTGTTCTTGGGGGGTACTTGTACCCTGTTTGCTTTTATGAGTTAGGTTTGGAAAGGGAAACCAAAAGGAACGCCACCATTCTGGGTTCTTTGTGGTTGACTGCTTGCCAATCAACTTCTTGGGTTGGGCGGGTTCCAGACTTTGATTGACTTGCCTTTCCCGTGCGCAACAGATGAGGCAGTGGATTTTGCTACGGGACCTCCTCGGGAGGGTCGAGTGTCCTCCTATTCGACACACCAATAGGTGGATTTTTTTCGTCGGATCGCGCCCGTTGAGGCACCGCTGCAGCTCGGAGCAGCGGAGCTGAGAGAGCGGGTGTCTAGAACATGGTCCCGGTTTCCTGAAATGGCTGTGGTTGTCAGTTCCGTTTTGGGATCCCATTTTGGTTGGTAGGTGAATTCACCACCCATTTTAGAACCTATTTTAGTGGGGATTGGGATGTTCACTGGGGGTATGGGATTCTGACCCATGGCCAAATATATTTGCTTTTGTAGCATTTTGAATTACAAGGCTAACCAAATCTGGACTGGAATCAAAGATGTTAGGTTTGGTGGGGGCAAAAGCTGAGGTGGATTCTTCTTGACTCGCTTCCCCTTGGTTCTTCTCACTTTTGGTAGCCTGCTAGGGGTGGGACAATGCTTCCAAACCATACTCTGCATGGCTACACAAACGAGGTGTGGTCCCAGTTTCTAGCCACGCATGATCAATATGGGGTTCAGTTCCTGAAATGGGACTTGCTACATTTTATTTGCAAAACAATAAGGTCACACATGTACACACACACAGATCTGACCATGTCTGGGGAAAAGATAACATGTTTTGACCGTATGTCACAAGCAGCGTTTTAAACGGCTCCTCCCAAACAAGGAAGCCCTGCTTGAGCTCGTGTTCAAGGGAAAGAGCCGAACCGTAAACTGGGGAGAGACCCACCTGGAACCTTTGCAAGAGATGTCAACGATACGTCGCAAGGCACACAGTCCCGGCGCCGGCTCATTTGAGGTTCGGTCCAACCTTCCAGTACTATAGTCTATCCGAATGCTGTAAGAATATGCAGGTGTTTTCAGGCAGCCCCTTTTCGGCATTTTGGAAAGGAATCTATATTTTTGAAAGAGAACACAAATCCAGTGCACCAGGATAACTTTGGGGATTGGACGATAGGGTTGAGCGGCTGCATTCCAACAACGAAATCCGAGGGGAGGAGGGACGAATCATGAATCCTGCGTCCACTATACTGGTAGTTACCGCATTTGTTGACAGTTGCTCAGTTGTGTGGGTTCCACTTCTTCCCTTTACAGCTACTTGTTTATCCCAACTGTTTTGATTTTGGTGGCGGCTCATTTCAGCCACGCTTGTCATTTGTGGTTTGTTTGGCGTGAAGCACCCTGTTTCAATCAGCTGGCGCGTTTCGGCCACCAACCCTATACCACCTTTCTCACCATCTTGAAGGCCACTGTTATTCCCATGTCTTGTTTGTTGGAAGCTGTTCTTGCGCCCAAGCCTGTGCTTCTCTCACACTTGAGTCCCAGTACGTGTTTGTTTGTTTATCGCGCAACCTTTGTGCCCTATGAGCCACCCCTCCCTTTTATTTTTTCTTTCCAAGCTACAACTTGCACAGCCACCCGCCCTTTCTCCCCCCCCCCCTCCCTCCCTTCGACAACCAGCTACGGTTTGAGGCTACAACTTCGACAACCAGCCAAAACCTCCCCCCTTCCTACAACTTCGACAACCAGCCACCCCCCCTTCAACGTGCGGTTTGAGGAGCACCACCTTCCCGCTTCCCGCCCTTCAACCTGCGGTTTGAGGCTACAACTTCGACAACCAGCCACCACCTTCCCCCCTTCCCCCCCCTTCAACCCGCGGTTTGAGGCTACAACTTCGACAACCAGCCACTATGCCTCCCCCCTTGCCCCACATCAACCTGCGGTTTGAGGCCACAACTTCGACAACCAGCCACCGCCTCCCCCGTTCCCCCCCTTCAACCTGCGGTTTGAGGCTGCAACCGCGACAACCAGCCACCACCTCCCCCCTCCCCCCCTTCAACCCCATTCCCCCCCTTCAACCTGCGGTTTGAGGCTACAACTTCGACAATCAGTCTTCACCTCCCCCCTTCCCCCCTTCAACCCGCGGTTTGAGGCTACAACTTCGACAACCAGCCACTATGCCTCCCCCCTTGCCCCACATCAACCTGCGGTTTGAGGCCACAACTTCGACAACCAGCCACCGCCTCCCCCGTTCCCCCCCTTCAACCTGCGGTTTGAGGCTGCAACCGCGACAACCAGCCACCACCTCCCCCCTCTTCAACCTGAATTTGAGGCTACAACTTCGACAATCAGTCACCACCTCCCCCCTTCCCCCCTTCAACCCCTTGCCCCCTTCAACCTGCGGTTTGAGGTTACAACCAAGACAACCAGCCACCACCTCCCCCTTTCCCCCCTTCAAACCCTTCCCCCCCATTCAACCTGCAGTTTGAGGCTTCAACTTCGACAACCAGCCACCACCTCCCCCCTTCCCCCCTTCAACCCCTTCCCCCCTTCAACCTGCGGTTTGAGGTTACAACTTCGACAACCAGCCACAACCTCCCTCCTTCCCCCCTTCAAACCCTTCCCCCCCTTCAACCTGCGGTTTGAGGCTACAACTTCGACAACCAGCCACCACCTCCCCCCTTCCCTCCCTCAACCTGCGGCTTGAGCTTCGACCTCCCCCCTTCCACCCCCCCCTCAACCTGCGGTTTGAGGCTACAACTTCGACAATATGTCGGACTGGCGGTCCCTGATCACCACGCTGCACCACATGTCCACGCTGCTGGGGCTGCTGCAGAACCCTCAGCTCAAGGGGGGCTTGCCAGACCTGGCAGGCGGGAGCTGTGGTCAGTTGGTTGTTGGGATGTGGTCGTGGGATTTCATGGGAAACTTGTTCAGTTTTTTGTTTTGATTTTTGTGGGAGGCGTGTTCAGTTTGGTTTGGTGTTCTGTTTTGGATACCTTCATAAGGGGGGAATTTGATTCGGGTTGGTTTAGAGGGGACGCAAACGGACAGTTTGCATTCTGGTTCAAAGTTTGGGGTTGTACATTAAGCCTTTAACATAGGGGAAGGTTTGCCGTAGAGCTGGTAGCCGTTTCAAGTTAATGCAAAGGGGATACACAATTGTGAGGGTCCAATTTATTTTGACATGGGGAAGGGACATACAAGATCTGTATTTCTGAGCATACCCCCTCCAATTATGGCGGGTCCAACTTCGTTTTTTCAACAACAAGGAAGGCATCAAAAGGGCAGACTTGAAGAATCTTGCTGCCTTTCTTGTGGTTTCTGGAATTTTGGCCTGGGCAATTTAATTCGCGGGCTGGAAAAAAACCGCCGTCACATTCCCTTGAAACGGATCCCCTCCGAGATATTAGCGTTTCAATGTGCACTTACACAATGCAAGGCAGGGTTACCTGGTTCCCTCCACCTGTTTAAACATCAAACACAAATCCAAAAAATGGGCTTCCCAATTTGACGCACACTGGTCAGCGGCAGAAACGGGATGTTTTGCCAGCCAGGGCGGAAGAATGGCCATGAGCTTTTGACATAGTTTCTTCCATTTGCTTAATACTATGTTTCTTGTGATTTTACACTGCATTTTTGGTCCAAGGGACTTAGCAAATGGAGGGTTTGACCATGTTCTACTGCACGTCTTTGAACATTGATCCCAGATGCGAGTGTCCCCCACCTGTGAGTTTCCTGTTGGATTCTCTTCACACTGCAATTGCCAAGCACGAGGCTAGTTTTGTGTGAATTTCGGCATACTCAAGTTTCCGTTTTTTTCCGTGTATCGGACAGAAATGCCTTAGACTCACAGCCACATGCACTTGGACATACCCAGAGGGTCCTAAGTACCCAGAACTACGGCTTTGGGTTTGGTTCAAATTCGTCAATGACAGATTCCTCGAAGTCTTGGTGGCTCCCAGCCATCCCCTTAGCCTTGTGGTGTTTAATGGTAGTTTCCATTTAAACCGCTACAAGTTGAACTTTTACCGGGAAATCGGTTTGGGCACCGGAATCCGGAAATTTCGATCGGTACCGAGGGACCTCTGACCCACCCCGAGCGCAGGCCAGCACGTGCTGAGCGACGTACAGGCCGCGGAGCGGCTTCTGCAACGGGTGGTCGACTGGGATGCCAGCGGCGCAGGCCGCAGAGAACTTCCCACCCTTTCCCTTTCGGTTAAAAAACACACACACACATTATCCCCCAAAAATGATCAACTCGCGGAAAACCGGCCCTTTCATTTTCCCTCAAAGAATGGTCAACTCGCGAAGAAAAAAACACGGCCCTTTCTTATTCAAACATTTTCCCTCAAAGAATGGTTAACTCGCCAAAACCGCGGCCCTTGTTATATCAGGGTCACTTGTATGCAGCAAGCAAAATGTGGGACCAAAATGGGTGGTTTCCCTGTGGCTTCCCCTTGTACCTTCAAAAACATAAATAGATAAGTCTTAGATAAGTGTATATATATATAGTATATATATAAAAGCAAAAACCACAGCAAACACGCATTGAGGCACTTATGTTGTTTTGGAAAAACAAAAAAACATGTGCCGTTGCACTGGCCGAGAGGTGAGTTCGATGCCAGCTTGGTCCGCGTGCAGAGCGGCGTGGATCAGAGCCTGGACGAGCTCCGGCACCAGCCACCGGACCTCAACTTGAAGGCAACCGCAGGCCAACTCGACCGAGGGTACCCTATGAGGGTGGTGCCTTTTTGGGTGGACATCAAAGGGAAACCCCAAAAAGGGGGCATACCCTCCAAAAAGAGACACCTGATGTTGCCTTCCTGAGGGGAAGCCTTGAAAGGCAAGTACCATAAAGGTGGCCTTGGAGCCCATACCCACATACACCTTGGGCCCCCGTAGAAATGAACACCTATGTAGCAAACGAGCGAGGTTTATTTGGACGCCCCAGCGGATGTGAGCCCAGGCTGCTTCTGCGCGTCCACACATATCCACATCATGTCCACATCATGTCCACATCATGTCCACATCATCCTATTTAGATGTAGCTAGTTGAGGACCAGGGTGTTTCCTGCCTCTGCCCAATGCCGGGAGACTGGGGACCCACCAAGATGGTCACTCAAAAAGCAGTCCCTTTTTCGATCAGGGTCACTGGATATGTGGATGAGTTGCAAACCATGGCATGGTCATGCTGTGCTTAATTCGAAGGGAGAAAAGGCAGGCTGCGGTACTCACCAAATTTGCATTGAGCAGCCACTCATTCCCTCAACACTCATGTATACTGAATCCAGGCCACACTGGCCAGTTGCCGCTGACAACTCCTGGGTTACTCAATGCCATATTGCTTGCTTGACCCTCGTTATCAGTCCGATGAAGTAGGATCTGTGTGTGCCAAGACACAAGATGACTGGTTGGCACATGCGGGCAACCATTCAGCTGAGTTCTTTTCATCTTGAAAAGCCAAGGCACGCGAACATCGATCAGCACCTCACGAAGATTGCACGGCTAGAGCGACGCCGCCTATCCCATCTTGGGGATCGGATCTCGTTGGACACTTCTGTTGAATTTATTGAGGTCCCGGGCACCTCTTGGAGGCTGTAGACATGAGAACTTGGACACGGATCGCTTGCACTGAAGAGCTTTGCTACTTGAGTCAGTCAGAGCGTCCCAACATGTTGCCAGTTTGATTGGATTCTGCACCTGCGGGGACCCTTGTAAAGTGAGTTGTCTTTGGGTTTGACGATGTTTTAAGCGGACATATAGTGAAGCTGTGGCTACTGTACCCATGGGACACATTGCACCGACTAAAACTGGCGGTGTGTGGGAATCCTGATTTTTGGATTGACCCCAGGAGGGCATCCTCTTCCACTACTTCCCTCAGCACCTTGGCCAGAAAGACTCATCGAATCTTGGAAGGTGTGGAGGTGGCTGGACACTCACTGGAGCCATGTCAGGATAGGTGACTCGTGGTGTTAAAGCCACTCTACCCGTGGTGTGAATGTACATTATAGCCAAATCCTTCGAAACATAGTTAGTAGTGCGTCACGTGATATGCGTGAACATGTACAGCTTATTTTGACATCTTGATCAATCTGAAACATGGCTCCGTTTTCAGGTTGGAGGATTTCAATTGTGTTTCAAGAGAAATGAGCGGTTAAAAAGCCCCAACCCGTGAATCCAAGCAAATTCAATTTAATCCCATCTCAAGCCGATGCAATCGAAGCCAATCGACACCAGTCGCCCCACGAGCCGGCAGGCTGGGCTTTCACTGCTCCATCCCGGACGAGCAGCTGGAGGAGCAGCCTGCAGTGGCGCCGGACTGGCGCTTCCAGTTTGAAGGCAACGTTTGGGACGTGTTCGCAGAAGGAATGGCGTCCTCACTGGACACTTTGGCCTGTGGGGTTGTCGAATGTGGGTACACCTTGACAAAAGGTCCCAAGAGGTTAGCAACTTTTCTTTATTTGATTCCAGGTCCTGCCAGAATGTTCAAACAATTTGCAACTTCCGAGCCCGGAATTCGCAGTTTGATCCGATCCCCAACGTGCAAACGGGCGCTCTAGAGCATACAGCTTTCCGGGGTCCAACTCGTTTTCCCAGAGGCGGAGGCAGATGCACAAGTGCCTTGCGGCTGACTTTGTTTGCGGAAGTTTCCACGAGCAACGCCACCGGAGAAAGAAAGCCACCAACCCGGTGATTCCAATTTCCTGCATAGTAGGTATGCCACCTGGTTGAGAGCGCATTTGTCTATCTAAGCCATCCCCCAAACATCCGCCAGCATCAACCCTCACATCATGGGTTAAATGGGACAGAGTTCTTAACCATAAGGAAATGGTGGGTTGCCTATGGTGGGTTGCCTATGGTGGCTTGCCTGGGATACACTGGCAGGCTATGGCCGGTTCTTTTACAAGTGTGACATGGCCCGGCGGCTAGATTGCGAAGTTGGCGACTCGGCAGCAAAGACCCAAATAGTCCCGACTGCGTTTTGCAAGAAGGGCCCTTTTGGGGGAAGAAGTCAAACAGGGAGCCAGTCCCTGCTTTTGACACACCTCCATGTAAAGCACCTCATCATGATATAGCTAGGTATACGTATACACAGTTGCTTGCTTGTAGTGGCGTGGGTCATTCCTATCTTTGCCTATCCCTGCCTCTGTCACTACCATCCTTAACCCGCGGTTTCCTCGTCTGACAGGGACGGTTCGGTTTTGGGAGCTGCGTATCATTTTCTGCTGGGGCGCGCCAGATCCTTAGGCATTGCGGAGATAGTTTGCACTACCTCACAGGGGAAGAGGGACACCAAGCCACAATTTAGCCGTTGTATCATTGTATGAAGGGTTCGGGGGCAAGCTCCTGGAAGAAACGACCTTTTGTTGAAAGGTAGTCCCCCGCTCACTTGCAGTGGGGGGTGGGGGGGGTTCATCAGAGGTTAATAGTCAAAGTCGCTAGGTTGGATGGATGTGGCCTTGCGTGTCGGGATGTATTTCATTGAAGCCATTTGCTGTTCGTTCAAAAAGGCAGGCCAACATGAAACCATGATGCCAAACACTTGGTATGTGCTCCGGAGTTGAGCATTTTCCCACCGGAATTCTAGCTTCCAAGTTGGCTACCGACTGGACTAGCACCAGACCAGCTTTTACATCCTCTCATGCCACAGCCAGAAAGGGCAACACCGCCTAAGAAATTCTGCACCGCCTAAGAAAGCCTGGAATGATGATTCCCCTGCAATGGCCTTCAAACAATGATTTGGTTTCCAAGTGGTGCAGGAGTTCGTCCTATCCAAAGTTCTTCTCTGTTTTTTCGAGCAGTCTCCAACTCTCCCACCCCATTCAAAATAGGGGGACCCCCAAAATATCGGCTTTCCTGTGTCCAGAAACACAAAGGTGACCAGGGTAGCCAGAAAGAAAAAAGACACACACACACACACACCCGGGAATGGCTGATGTGACCCGCCATGGATCCAAGGTGACCTGGTCATTCAGGCACGGTCCTGGGGTCCTCGGGACGCGCTTGTGCTTTTCAGATGTCAAAGATCTGGGTGAATTATAGCGACTTCACACGACCTCACCCCGAATGGTGGTTTATGTGAGGAATAGCCCCCGAACCACCTCATTTCAGTTGGTGAAAAATAATAACTCATCCAGAAAGATACAGCAGAAGGGTTTGTTTTGCGGTTAGTCTGCTTTTCCTTTCCACTCAAGCCCATGGACGTCCAAGAATGGATTTGCCAGTTGGGACAGGCCTGAATTGTGGGGCGTATATCTCATGTTTCATTCTGCTTCATTTGTGCTAACAACACCGCCAGCACCTTGAACAGAAGGGTGCATGTAGAACAAACAGATCCATGTCCGAATGGCAAGCAATGTTTCAAGCAAACCCAGCTTTGTTCACGGAGAAAGCACAGTAACGTTGCATAGAAGTAGAATTTCAGGGTCAAACCATGCCGCATTGCAATGCAACTCTGCCAATTCAGCTGAGCCGTTTCATTGCTTTCTCCCAATCAATGAGTCCCGTTGTTTTTTACTTTTGATCTCGGCGTTCTTAAAAGGAGTGCCAGTCGCTTCTGCATTTGTGAAGCACTTCTATTGCACGAAGATCCATGGGTGAGGCAGGCACACATCATGGAGGCTCAACTCCTTGATGTATCGTTAGTTGCTTGTGTTGTTTGACTGTTTTGTGTTGTTGCTTTTTTTGTTGTTGTGTTGTTTTGTTGTTGTTTTTTTGCCGTGTTTCCATTGGCTACCAGGAGTGTAGTATCAGTCTGTGCAAGGAGCCTCACTTTGCATATGTGCAACATGCAATTCCCATTTGCCCATTGGGTTCAGAAAGTTGAACCCATCTAATCCCAGGGTACAACCTCAAATGTGGGGCGGCTGATGGCGCAGGGGACTAGTGTTAAAGTCTGTCCCCGTTTACCGCGTAGTATAGTTGCCGGTTGGATGTCATGGTTCTTGACATGCGTGCAGAAGAAATGAAAAGTAACAAAAGCACACCACTGTTTTCCAGGCGATCTCCACATTATGTGTCTACAATCCCACATGGTGTCCTGTGCTGTTCCCTTGAGGCCCGAAAAGTCGAGCTGGAGATCTTGACGCTTGGACTCAGGGTTTTGGCCTTCCTTGAATGCCCCCGAAAAAAAGGAGGCACCCGGACACACAGCGTGTAGCAGAAGGCTACAGTTTCTGGTTTTTTTACGTCAACCGTTGGTTGGCATAATTCGTTGAGTTGCTGGGAACAGGCTACACATCGAGAACCCTGCTTTGTCCTGTGACAGCTGAGCTTTTCTTTTTTTCGTGTTTCCGACGCATGGTGCCTCCCTATTCTGAGGGGTGACTCCCTAAAATCTTCACTAGTTGCTCTTTTCGCAAAAATTCCTCAGCTGCGTTGCGGAATGAATTGGAGGCTGCGGTTGAAAGAATATGGCTTTTCACTCTTGTTCCGCCCGTTCTACAGCTCAACGATAGTTTTGTGGGCGCCGGGTTCAGCCAGCTTCCCATTTGTCTTCTGTCCCTTGTTGTTCCCTTCCGATTCCAGTTGTTGTTCCCATTTGCCCCTTATTATTTCAGATCTGTTATTATGCTTGTTCCATTTGGGTGTGATTCAAACCCCCAAAATAGTTCTGACGACCTTTTGCGGGTAAAGGTTGCAATGTGAAAACAATCTAAAGCTCTTCTGCTAGATTGTAAGGGTCTAACCGAATGGTTACAATCATGACATCCAGTCTATCGTATATGAATGAATAAACATAAATATATACGAATGAACAAATAAATACACATATATATATATAATTGAATTGAGCGGCAAGTATCAACGGACCCACCACGACCATCCCGCTTGTAGCTCAGGATGCAGCTGCTATCGCGGCTGCGGGTGCTGGAGCCAAGGCTGCGGGCAGTCTTCACGCGCCTGGCGGAGCTGGATGTGCTGTGGGACACCCAGTCCCACCCCCACCCCGCCCCCCCTCCCGAGGGCGCGAGGGCAAAGGGACACCACTCCAAACAAGTTATTTGTTGAGTCTCCACCCCTTTTTTTTGGTCAGTACCCAAAATTAAAGGGGTTATGACCCCTTTTTTCTAGTCATGGAGACTCTAGGTACCTGCTTTGTTTTTCATTAGTTGAAAACCCCGAAATGGCCAACATGTAGTAGATTGTTACCTGCTTTGATGTTCTAAAACAATCATATGCGCCTTGCTAACTGTGGTCGAGTTATAGCAGCTGTTTGACATGTCTTGGGCCAAGAGCACTCAGAGGCCTGAGACTCGCTTGCCAACTTGTTTGGCCTGGGGGTCCAATTCTGAGGTCCCAAAGCAGACTTAACCTGAGAGGTTGATTTCCCCAAATGGGAACCCCAGGAGTGGAAGTCCACTTGGCTTTCATCGATCAATGGAATTGTTCAAAGTGGTTGGTTGTTTTGGGGATACCTTTCCGTGTTTGTTGCAATTGGAATTGATGGGTGCCTCCACGTCCATATACTTGGCTTGCCTGTTGAGTGGCAAATTGTTGTCAGGTCTTTGTATGATTTTAGCCTAGTGCCAAAAGTCAAAGGTTTCAAGTTGTCTGGTCACGCAGCTTAGCAGATCAATGGAACCCGAATAAAGAAACCGGTCATTCAGAGAGCTTCTGATCTTTTTGGAGTTTCTGGGTCTAAGTTTGCACCACCCATCCTTTGCACCCATTTTTCCTCAGATCCGCCAGTTGAAAAAAACACTTACTTCTCTGACCGAAATCAGTTGATCTTCATTCCCTTTCAGTCCTTCTTTGCGGAGAAGGTTCCCTTTTATAATCATCTACACTTTGGTCCACAATCATGGAAGCTGTAAAAAAGAAGCAGCCACACACGAAGCCGCCAAAATGAGCCCGGCACTCCTAAGAATAAGAACAAGACGGTGGCCTGCAAAATCCCACGGGTCTTCCACTGGGCTTGGTGTCTCATAGGCTCGCCTTTGCCGGGGCGGCGCTGCAGCACCGCTGGCGCCGGCCCAAGCTGGCGGAGAATGCCGCGGGGCGGCTCCACGTGGCGCCTCTGAAGCAACCGGCGGGCGGGGGGGGGGGGGGTTCTCCATCCTCGACAGGTGGTGACATGCGGAGAAGAGTTTCGTTGTTCCTGTTTTGATGAGTACGCGCGGTGTCTTATAACTTTCTATCAGCACTTTGAGGATCCTTCCTCCACTACCCCCTTTGGCTGTTACATGGAACCCCCCACCGGGCACTGTCAAATGTGGTTGAATTCAGCGCCTTAAAATCCTTATTGAGCAAGACATTAGGCCATGGTGAGAGTTTCAATGCCCCAGGTTTGGGTGGATTACGCACGTAGTTTCTGGCTTCAAAGAAGCGCGGGCTGTTTCTTTCCTTGAAGCATAGACCGACCAGCCACCTTGGCCATGTGTTCGATACACTCCTGCAGCAATGGAGCTCTTTGCACTGGGTATACAAATCCAATGTGCCCACAGCTCGTTACACCCGACATGTTGCCATTTCCTGCCATGTGTTCATATGTACATGTTATATATATATATATATTTATAGATAGGAGTGTGTGTGTGTGTGCATACCCCGGCATCAAATGGCCCAAGGACTTACCTTGGTTAAGTACCTCGAGCAATGTATATGCTTATGCACTGTACGCGCTTCTTGTGCCTCGGTGACCCCCAGCGAGCGGCGCAGGTTCGGGGCCGGCACCCCTTGGTGGAGGCGGTGGGCGGCGGCAAGCACGGGTTTGTGCCCAACAGCACGGAGATTGGCGTGGAGGACCAAGCAACCGTCGATTTCCACAATTTAGGGGACTCTAATTGGCCATGGTTCAAAACCGATGGTACCATTTTGGGATAGGTGCACCACCGATTTTAGTCTATTTTAGTGGGGATTGGGATGTTCACTGGGGGTACGGGGTTTTGACCCATGGCCAAATGGGGTCTAGAGCGCGGGCTGCGATCGCTTGCACCAAGGGACAATCCACGTGAGTAGCATTTGAAAGGAACCCATTTGCTAGAAATGACCCATTTAGGGACACCCACATTTTACATG